GGAGGCGTTCTCCGGGGCGGCCCGGGGGTCCATGACGGCGGCGGCGCGGGTCCGAACCCGGCTCTCCGTCCCGCTCGGCTGGCGCCGGGGGCCTCGCTCCCTCCCTCTCCCTTATTAGAGGCGGCTTTCTGGTCCGACCGGCTCAGATGCTGTTGTTGTTGTTCGCCAGCATTCCTGCTTCTCAGCACAGGCAGCCAGATCCATAATAGGGGCGGCAGCCAGGGGGGGTTTCTGATCTGGAGGTACAGAAAGAGGGAATGAGAGACACCTGGACAGAGGGAGGGTTCCCCCCCAGCCCGGCTCAGCCCGGCCCAGCCCGGCGTCTCTGACAGCTTCTTCCGTGCGCCGGTCTCGGTCCGGCTCCGCACCGTGCTCCTCAAATCCTGGAGGCACTCGGCGAGCGGACCCCAGGTCCGGTCCGGCTGCTGTCCGTCACATCTCCCTGTAAGCGAGGCGGCGGAGCGGCCGGTCCGGTCGGCACCGAGACCCTGCTGAGGTCTCGGCGGGGTCCAGAGCCGCCTTCAGCCCTGTCCAGCGACAACAACACCCGTCTCCACCGTCTCCACCTCCTCTCTGGGCACACACAGAGGAAGAAGACCACGGGCGCTCTTTGTTTTGTGTTTCTGCTCAGTTGGACCGAGTTACAAGGAAACAGCACAAGTACACAACCCGGCTCTCACCCACCGGCAGCGAGACACACGCCTCCTCGGACTTCGACTCTCAAGCTCCCCGGTGTCGCCGACGTATCTCCCCTTGAACCAGCAGAGGCGGGGAGCGGGGGACCTTCCGTGCCTCGTCTTCACCGTTTCGAAACCGACGCCTCTGTCGCCCCGCCGGCACCCGAATCAGGACGACTTACCTGCCTTGACGGACCCGCACAGCGCCAGTCGGCTCCTTCCTGCGCAAGCCGGCCTGCGCTGTTTGCGTAGTGCCGGAACGGCTGAGGACTCGCTTGCTGCGCACGGGGCGGAGTGGCGTTTCGAGAATGGCTCCGCCCCGGGGGCGTCTTTGACAGGTCGCGCAGTAGGGCGCAGGCGCAGAGGCAGGCACGTTCCGCCGGTAAACAAGTGGGGAAAGTGGGAGGGGCCGAGGTGTCCATCAAGGCGGGGACAGCCAATCGGGAGCGAGAAGGGGAGGGAGCCTTCGGTCACGTCCCTTGCGGATATTAATAATCCCCGCGTTAGTACTTTTGCTGAAAAATAACATGAATGCAATTGCTTTATGTACACAATTTAGATTAATTGTATATTGTATTCCGATGTTTAAATACCTCGGGCAGAGTGTTGTCCTGTACTTTTTGTTCTTTTACCTTTCTCCTTTTTGTGTGATTTGATGTTCAGTAAAAGTGAGGGGGAAATAGTATTTTAATAGTCTCAGTGTTACTAGCGGCAGTAATATGTATTTATTTTTAAAATACAACACAGTGGATTGTTGGATTCCTGACGAATGCTCTGCCTTGTCTTCAGTCCTGCTGTAGACCCAGAGCAGACCTGCAGTTGAGGATAACGGGCGATAGTTGACACTTTCATTCCTTAATTGTAACATTCCTTAATTGAGTCTCAGATTGTCTAATTAGCAGGTGACGCACACAGCATGAACACAGGAGCACGAAAGGGGCGCCATGCCCTGGAAGGGACAGTTTGTGCTTGTTAGAGACGTCTTACAGGCGTTCACAATAAAGGAATCCATGCACGTTAAGCTTTGGAAGGCGCTGGTTGTTGTTTTTTTAAATCTACAAGAGTGACGAACTCAAGAGCTGTGCCCCCGCGCCCCTCGTTTCATTACACGTTTTAGGTGACCGATAGAGAACACGGTGCTGCAGGGTCCTCCGGCCCCTTCCCAACATGGCGGCCGCACGGCGGCGACGACGACGAGCGTCACGGGGTTCTAGAAGCCCTGCGGCGCGCGCGGCCCCCCCCCCGCCTTCAAATTTCAAATTCAAACCGACGCGCTCTCGCGCCGCGCAGGAGACGGAGGCCGGTAGGAGAGGAGGAGGAGGAGGAGGGAACAGCGCCCACCCGCGGCGGGAGGACCGTCGGTGACGCGACGCGACACGACACGACACGACAGGAGACGCCGCGATTCCGCCTCAAAACATCAAACCAGCCCGTCGTCCGGGAGCCTTAACGGCTTGATTCGTCGACATTATATCGTCACCATCCCTGGGGAGCTCAGTCAGCGGTGGCTGACAGCTCGGAATCGTAAGGGTGTCGAGTTGTAGAGGAGAGATGTGCAGGGTGTTCGCCAGTCGATGCGAGAGCCGATGAGGGCTGTACGGATCAATGTTAGACTGCTGACCGGACGCTGTATGACCGAGGGCGCTCCTCAGTCCTCAGGCTGTTTAATGTAAACGGCGCTGTTCTTGTTGTTTTGTCTTGACCAGGGTGTGGGCTCTTTCACCAGCTCGGGGGGGGCGGTCTGGTTGCACAGAGGCTGGTTTCTGCTTCTCCTCTCGTGTAACAGCGTCCTTGCCCTTCCCTAGCTCTTCTCCACTCGTCCTGGGGGTCCCCTGCACCCCCAGCAGTGTGTACCCCCACCTGGGTGAGGCGCCAGTCCGCTCCCCACACCCCAGCTCTCAGTGGGGAGGAGAGCAGAGTGATGGAGCCAGTAAAGAGAGGGGGATTATTAGGAGGCCATGAGGGGTGAAGGCCAGGGGGGAATATGGCCAAGACACTGGGGTAACACCCCAACTCTTCTTGAGAGACACCCTGGGGTTTTAATTGGAATCGTTCCTACAGGCCGGTGCTTTTTAGCAGGATCACTGGTGTCTGATGGAAGCAGCCGCAGGAACCCAGGGGACCCGATCAGTCTGTCGAACCCGCTCACAAAGGGGCGTCTTCCCCCTCTGCAGGTCCGGCGGGTTCTGGGTCAGGCAGCAGACCTGACAGAGGGCGGTCCTGGTACTGGCAGACTGGTACAGGGGTGAAACCTGGTACAGATCCAGGTCGGGCAGCAGACCTGAGTGAGGGCGGTTCTGGTACTGGTACAGGGGTGATACCTGGTACAGATCCGGGTCGGGCAGCAGACCTGAGTGAGGGCGGTTCTGGTACAGGTACAGGGGTGATACCTGGTACAGATCCAGGTCGGGCAGCAGACCTGACTGAGGGCGGTTCTGGTACTCGCACTCACTCAGGTACTGGTACAGGGTGATACTGGGTTGGGCAGGAGACTTGACAGAGGGTGGTTCTGGTACTGGTACAGGGAGGTCCCGGTACAGACCCCCCCTGGGCCTGTAGGAGCTGGAAGCCAATCTGCCCCACTTCCTAACTGCAGGCTCCCCTGGAGTGTAAAACAAGAGCCACTGTTCCTCGGGGGGCTCGGGTTTGGGTGGGAACTATATGAATATATAGGAAGAGGCGCTGTATGAATGAAAGATGCTCATTTTCTCCAGCTCCCGCGGCATGGGTCCTGGGGGGGGTGTAGGACGGGTCCGTGTCCGCCAGGGGGCGCGGTGCGGCGCGCCGGCCCCTCTCTGCCCCCCTCCCCGCTCCCTCTCTCTCTCTCTCGGCCGCCAATTACCAGCCGGCGCAGGAAACCGCGGTCCGCTTCAACTCCAGCCGCTGCGGGGCAGTTCGTCTTCGTGCGTTTGGCGTCACGGCCGTGGAAAAAGATATATTCGGCGAGCGAGAAGCCGGGCTGTAGTCGAGGGCGAGAGGACAGACGTCTTGGAAACGCAGCGACAGCCGCCGCCTGCTTCCGTTTGAGGCCCCCGGCGCCCGGGCTGCCGCTGGCCCGGTGAGCGATGGGCCGGCGGAGGTCGGCTCGGCTGGCCCGGGCGGAGACGCCGCTGCGGCGCTCGGCGAGACTGCGGGACACCCTGGGCGGGCCGGTGGAGGTGCGGGTCTCTCCGTCTCGTCGGTTCGCTGCGCACCGCGGGGCCGGGGACGAGCTGTCAGCTGCCGGCCGAGCAGACGTCTCCCCCGCCGCAGCGCCAGTGTCGTGAGCGCTGGGGCTTGAACTGGGCCCCATGGGGGTCCCAGCCCAGCTCGGGCCAGCCGTGAGCTGTGGCGCTGCAGAGAGATGATCACAGTCGAGCTGGTCTTGAGCTGGTACTTCAGTCAGGGTCGTCAGGAGTGAGCACTGGGGCAGCTGGAGGACCGTGCAGTCCCGCAGCAGTGCGGAAGGACAGACCAGGGCTTCGCTGGTCCGCACAGACCTACAGGCGCGTGTGGGGCAACGGGCACAGTGGCTACTTCAGGGAGGGGAGGTGCTGCTGTACGCGAAGGGCGGTGGGTGCGTGGCACAAGCCGTGCCGTCGAGACGCACTCTGACCCCCGGTGTCCACTGTCCTGCAGGAGGTGGTGGACATGTCTGCAGAGCAGTCGGAGGGGGAGGACGCCCAGGACCTGCAGCCACGCCCTGGCATCCGGGCCCACCACTCTGCTTCTGGGGACCCAGCGCCAGTAGAACCAGAACCAGAGTCTGAACTGGAGGAGCCTGAGGCCAGAGGCAGGGGCCGCCCTCGCCAGCACCCCCAGCTGGACTCCATGGTAGGTCCTCTGTTGTAGAGCTCCAATCTGGACCGGACGGGCTCTGACCCGGTCTGGAGCTACAGCGCCGCGGAGCGCGGCTCCTCTCTGGACCGGACGGGCTCTGACCCGGTCTGGAGCTACAGCGCCGCGGAGCGCGGCTCCTCTCTGGACCGGACGGGCTCTGACCCGGTCTGGAGCTACAGCGCCGCGGAGCGCGGCTCCTCTCTGGACCGGACGGGCTCTGACCCGGTCTGGAGAGGGCAGTGGGGGCTCTCCTGGGGATCAGCAGGTGCCGGGCTGCTCCAGCCGATGGCTGAGGGGTGTTTTATGCGCTGAGCTGCTCAAACAGGGTGTGTTTTTCAGCCCGGCTGCGAGGGCGCTGAGCTCCGGGGGCACACCCTGGGCCAGGGGTCTTCCCTGGGGGAAGGCTGGGTTGGTTGACGTTGCTTTGTGTTGGGTGCAGGGCGTGTCCCTGGCGCCCTCCTGCCACACAGAGGCTCTTGTGTTCCTCTGCTAACCACATAACTGGGTGTGATGGGGGGGCATCATGTGCCTGCTGACACACCAACACACTGCAGGAAGAGCCTCCAGACGCTCTCCCGTCAGCTGCGCAGTCTGAGCTCGGGGCGTCGCTCTGAGCCGCTGGGATTCTCGTTAACGGGTGTTGCTTTCTCTCTGCTCCCTTGCGGTCAGTGCCCCTCGGTCATCCTGCGCAGACTGGACCTGGAGGACCGGGAGGGAGAGGAGACGGAGCCCCCCCGGGCCGCGGCGCCGAAGGCCCCCACCTCCAGGATCCCCACCTTCCAGAGCTCCGGCGCCCGTCTGCTGCGGCCCGTGGACCGCCCCCCCCTGGGCAAGCCCCCCCCCTCCCAGCTCCCCGTCAGGCCCTGGGAGCGCGCGGCCAAGCCGCACCTCGAGCTGGGCTGGTCGGACACTGCGCTGAGCCCCCGCCCGGCGCTCAGGGCCGAGACCGGGACCCCCAGGCCCGAGGCAGCACAGGAGGCTGGCGCAGGGGCTCTCGCCCCCGAGACCAGGGGAGGGCAGCTGGAGAGAGGCACACCTGCCCCCAGGGCCGAGGCCACGAGCAGGGAGGCCTCCAAAACACAGCCTCGGAGAGGCCCCCCCGTCCCCTCGGAGGCAAAGCCCAGAGAAGACACGCCGCCTGCCTCCGAGGAAGGAGGAGAGGAGGCTGAGGCAGAGCGGGAGGAGGTGGGCTCTGAGGTGGGCTCTGAGGCCGAGCGAGAGGAGGCAGGCTCCGAGGCCGAGGAAAAGGAGGCTGGGGAAGAGGAGGTGGACTCCGAGGCCGAGGAAAAGGAGGTGGGCTCTGAGGCCGGGGAAGAGGAGGCTGAGCAAGAGGAGGCTGCCCCCGAGGCTGAGGCTGAGGGAGAGGAGGTGGGCTCCGAGGCTGAGGCTGAGGCTGAGCGAGAGGCGGTGGTCTTTGAGGTGGGAGCCCGGAGCGAGAAACCCGCCCTCAATCCCAGAGGCAGACGAGCGGCCGGAGGGAGGGAGGCGAGGCAGGAGGGAGCGGGCCGGCCCGGGCCCCGAGGCAGGGTGAGTGCTCCTGTGGGTGTTCTGATTCCTCGGCCACTCGGGGACCGCCGAGCTGTGTGCTTGACCTCCCTCAGGCCAGGGCGGGGCTGGGGTTCCTTTCCCCTTTGAGCAATCTTTGAAGCTGTCCAAATGGGCAACTAGATCCTTTACCTGGAATAGCTGTAGCTCTGCTGAAGGCCGCGGGCTCTCGGCTGGGCGGGAGAGGACCAGCCCAGCTGCTGACCGGCCTGCTCTCTCCCTCCCTGCAGCAGACCGGTTCTCCGTGGCGGCTGACCGGCCTGCTCTCTCCCTCCCTGCAGCTGCGGCGCTACTGCTCCACCCTGCTCTGCCTCCTCCCCCCCCTGCTGCTCCTGCTGGGGGGGGGCGGCCTGTTCCTGTGGCCCTCTGGGAGGCCGGGGCTGGCCGGCGCCCTGCTGGCGCCGCTGGACCTGGACTGGCTGTGGGCCGGGGACCTGTGGGCACGGCAGGAGGCCTGCGGCTCCGACTGCAGGTAGGGACGCGCGGGCGCTGCCTCCACATCCCAGGGATCCTGCTTGCTCCCCACCCCCACCACTCTCTGTGTGAAGACGTGCCTGTGGCCCTTGTTTCTCTGCGGATCCAGACCTGGGTGCTGTCAGAGAATTGGGTGACTCTTGCTGCGTGTGTGGAAAGTCTGTGCTACAGAGTCGTACCGCTGACCTGATATGGCATTTATCTGGAAGGCCACAGAGTCCCAGTCACCGTTGTACGCAGTATAATTGTAAATCCGTTAAAAATATCGAAGATCGTGCTGCCGCTGATACTGAAATCGGCAGATTGGAACGTGTCAGTCTCTGTCCCTCCTGGTGCAGCCTGTCCCTGCTGGAGAGCCTCCCTGAGGGGCTGGAGTACCCCCCTGGCTCCCCCCGCCTGACCCCCATCTCCCAGGCCTGGAGAGACCTGCTGCACAGAGCCAACCACAGCGTCAGCATCGCAGCCTTCTACCTCACACTGAGGGACACCGACCTGGAGGCCTCCGAGCCCAGCGCACTGGAGGTGAGTCAGGGAGAGGGCTCGGAGCACTGGAGGTGAGTCAGGGAGAGGGCTCGGAGCACTGGAGGTGAGTCAGGGAGAGGGCTCGGAGC